TTATATATATATATATATATATATATATATATATATATATATATATATATATTAAACGGATTTTCAATAACATAATAAATATAATTTATTCGTCTTAAATATTTCATACACAGATTAACCTGTACGGTACATAACCTGCATGCTTGATACATAATGCTTCATAAATATTTATAATAGTTTGTGAAAGACATTTGATATGATTTGTCAAAATAAACATTATTTTTCTTTCTGATAAACAGTATAGTCTCTAATTGTATAGAAACAGTTATGCAGCAGAAAAGATTTTACTTTTAACTTAAATTTGTGAACCCACATCAATTGTTTAATGCCATCTGATAATGCGTTGTAAAGCAACGTACATGTATTGTATGTAAATTTTTGATGGTGAGTCGTTGATACTGCCCTGCCACTTGATGAACGTGATTTTTACGACATGTATTGCAATCATAAATATCAGTATTGGATGAAAATATGTTCCCACCGTTAAGTAAGTCACTTTTGACACATATTACCGAATCGTAAATGTATAGGCAAGGCAGTGGGGGGATTCCAAACTCAATGAAGAGAGGCTTCCAGGGATCATGCTGTTGGAAGTTTTCATTATTAGAATAAATTTATTTTGCAACCTAAAGGTCTGAGTACTACATGATGACTTTCCCCAGAATTTTATGCCATATATCAAGCGGGAATGTCCATTTGCTAAATACACGCAACGAGCTGTATGAAGGCTGACAGAATTTGAAAGAATTCTAAATGCGTAACATAATGAACTTAATTTCGTGTATAATTTTGTTATATATACATTCCATTTGATGATTAACTGAATTGGGAGACTTAGAAATTTTGTTACCTGACCTTCAGCTAATTGCATATTGTTCTTTTTCAATGGAGCATGCGATTGTTGATTTGAAATGCAAAACTGCATTACAACTGTTTTTCCTTCGTTAACTACTAATTTGTTATTACAAAACAACCAAGTGGAACTTCTAAAATCGTACTATTTATTGTTTCTTTTTTACAAAGAACATTCTCCCGTCCATTAATTATTTGGTGTCATGAAGCCACAACATGAATCTTGAATACACAATGTGTTATAGAAAGTGATTCACTACACTTAGGAACAAAATTTATCAACTATTTTGATACTAGGGTCTCTCAATTTGAGTTTTGTGTCAAAAATTGCACGAGTCATTTTTGGAGCAAAAACTCAGCCCCTTCGTATTTACTTGCAAGTTTGGGCAAGTCAGAATTTTGTCTGTGACCGTGATTGGATCACTAAGAATTATGAATACTAAAAAACACTATTGTGAATTCAAGTGCTATGCTAATAATGTCTAACTGGAGAGGTGTAGTTTACAATAAAAAATAATGTAACATTAAATACATTACATTTAATTCCCATACAATATATTTAGTGGGTTAGTCAGTAAAAGCGTGTCACTTTAGAAAGAAACAATTTTATAAACTTTAAATTTTTTTCTTCCGTAAGGGCTTTATAAAATATCTTAACCCTACGTATAGTAATCGGATAACTTGCGTATCCGTCTATGCATTACGGTTACCCTTCCTGCAATCCATCATTCGGACAGGTGAATTATCATTCGACACGTCTAGGTTTATTGGTAGGAAGTGATTACTTATGTTAATGGAGGTTTTAAGACACGTACAGTTGTAATCAAAGCGTATTTGCTTTCTCTCCCTCGATGATACGAATCTATTGGTACTATTTTTAGCCTGAACCGTGTAGAATAATATGAAAGAAATATTGAAAGATGTTTTTTGAAAGGGGGGGAATTCAAGACACTCGTGAAGAGCTGTGAATTTCTATTCTGCCTTCGCAGCATAATATGCCGTTAGGAGCTTATTAATCAAATTAATCTTAATTTTGTGATGAAACATACTGTTGTAATAAACCGATACTTTTAACGTGTTTATTTTTATTACGAATTCCATAGCACGATAAATTATTTTCGATATCAGAAAGCTCGTGTGAGACTGTAATTTCATACAGTTTATCTATTATTCTGTCAGTACGATATGTTGCTCCTGTTACAATATTCGAAATCGCGAGACCTATCTTTGATTACTTTGAAGAAAATTGATTCAGAAGTTTTTATATGCAGCGTTTCAAGCATTTCCTATACGAGAGCTTTCTGAGAAAGTGTCTGTCAACTCACGTAAACTACAGATACCTTTGGTTAAACTATGAATTCTGAGAACTGAGTTAACGTAATCGTTTTAAACATTGCTACCATGAGAAAGCTTTTGCTACAGTACCTGCAGCGTATAAGTGACTCTGACAGTTCTATGCGCTGTTGCCACACATTACTACGCACATGGTACCACCTACATGACAGATAAATCTAAAAAGTTAACACTGACACGTGACGTCACGTCAGGATAAAATGTTCATTTTCTTCGCTACAGTCGAACCTTACCGCTTCCGTGACCTCGTATGAGCACAGAATACGCGAAAAAACAATAGCGCAGCCCCGTGTTAAATGCCCATGGCGACTTCTTGGTCAGTGACTCCAGCGACACACGCGGAGATCAAGGAAATACTTTTTAATTTCCTTATGCATACAACTAAAACAACATATAAAGTGGAAGCATTGAACAATTTTTAAGGAAAAAATTATATAAATCTCTTGAATGTTGTCCATTGAAAGTAATTTGTGGAATCACGAGGAAGAAGAAGTATTTCAATACTGTTCACGAAAATATCTAGAAATGTACGTAATATAAATAAGGGTATTTAGGAGGTAATAACCTTTCTGTTAGTAGGTTATTACAAGTTTCCGTCTTTCCTTTCTAGGTCTATTGGACTAGTAGAAAACAACATAACTCAAATTTCTTTCCTTCCTTATCGCTCCATTTAATTGCAGAACAGTGCGCTTTGAGACAGGCATTGTTATTAATATATATACTGAAACAGTATAAGAATGCAGTTGGTGTATACCAAATATGGGACGATACATATCAAATGTAAGATTAAAACGTTGGTTCGATATAATTTTACGTGTTATTTAATGACTTGCCCTTGAAAACCTTGGAATATAAAACCACGAAGTCAAGAAACAATACAAATTATTTTTTAAGTTTTTAATTAGCTGGTAATAAACGCAATTTCGTATACCAAATCCATATACTTCAGTAGACGCTTTTCGAAGTTGTACTTGATCTTCACCAGGATCGCATCCCTCGCTAGACAAAAAAGGGCTGAGCCGCGCTACTGTATAAATACGTGTACTGTGGTGTGCGTCAGCTGAGCGGCAACGCGGAACGCTATGAGAAAGTAAACAAAACCGCGCAAGCTGATTGCTGCAGAGCAGGTCACGTGACGTACCACAGCACGTGGCGAGAGAACTGGCAGAGTCGCTTATATGCAGCCGACTCTGTAGCTAAGGATAATAATAGATAGTGAATGAGAGTCATACGGGATATCCAGATGCCTCGGGGCTTGAGTTTACCAGAAAAACCGTGGTTAAATTGTCCACATATTTTCTAAAATCTATCCATTCTATGCGTATTTCACATGCTGTTATAATACAAAATTAGACTATAACCTGTAATGTTTTGAATGCTCGTTGTAAACAAACTTCTCACGCTAACTATACAACAATAATGTATATCGTATCCAGATATGTTAGTAAAAGGTTTCGAAATATTTTCCCATTAATAAATGTTATCGAAAGAATTGAATGTAAATGAAAATTGTTTGTACGTTTTAGATATAAAGGATATAATCTTATAGAGAAATACCGAGAGTGTGGTTAAAGAAGCAGAAGTATAGGAGAATGGGAGAACAGAAAGAAAAAGCGAGTTTCGAAAATCTGGAATAATGAGAAGGCAGAGAACATATTCCAAAATAGAGAGTATCAATTTGAAGAATATAAATATTTAAAATAAAGTAGAATTTTTAGATGCAGAAAATGAAGCAACCCTGAAAAGTATAAATGCTTGCTGTATTTTATGATGAAATATTTTTATTTTAAGTGTTTTGTCATGTTTACAGCTTAACGGTACACATTAGAGTGACATCAAAATAACTAAATTAACTTTTTTGTTAAAAATGTTCTTATACAGTCACTTACATGCGTTCGCTTTGAAAAATAACTGCAAGTGCCCATTACATTATAAAGATAAATTAATTTTTTTTAAATGTAACTACACGCAGGGTGAATATTCAACTATTTCAGAAAAATCATATTAATACAAAAATTCATTCATAAAATTGCAGATGCTGCTTATTCAAAAACAAAACATAATTTATTCGTCTATTGTTAATTCACAAAGTGCATGTTCTTCCGTAGCCTGTTTTTTATTCAAAACAAGTTAAGTATGAATTTTTAACAACCGTCTTGGGAGATATTTAAATCTGTTTTCAACGTCATTTATTCCAGAAACATATTGTGAATAGCAAGCATTCGCGACGCATTTAACGATGCATTGTCAGCTTTTCCACCAACTATTGCGCAAACTATGCATATACACCTCCGGAACTTCATACACGACCGCCATTGGACGTATCGCAAAACCAAGTACGTACTTTTTACACGCCAAGTGCACCAAAATTGCCAGAATGATGCATACTTCATGATACGTCTGTTTAGTTCGATGTGGCCTCGCTCGCCTCCGTTTTCAGAACGAATTCGGTTGTAAACTTCACTCCCGGGTGACTATGTTTCATGTTTTCTCTTACGCACCGCCACAAAAGCATTGTTTCTGGCGCTTAAGGTAATCACATTTATTACTCTTTTTTCTTTTTTCTTTTCGCTAGGCAGGCGGTACTTACGCCGGTGATGCGTTACAACGCTCTTGAAAGCAGGGCTCCTCCGAGCATACGGCACCGCGAGGTCGCGTCGCGCTGTCACCGCCAGCATCGCCGCGACCGCAACGGTGACGGTGGTGACGACGGTGACGAGAGGGGCAAACGGCATCGCTCAGCGGCGACACGCACACCCAGCGACACCTGGCGGGTGATAACCTCTGGCGAGGCAGTTGGCGTCTCGGTGGCGTAGCCGCCGGGTGCTCCCGTCGCACTCCCCGCCCTCTCGCCGCCCAACTAACGACGCTCCTCTCCGGCCGTCCCGGAGGCAGCACGGCGGCATTCAGTGTTTGCCAAAAATCACAAGTGCGTTTAATTGACGTGTATGTGCTAATGGCATGGCACTTTTTTCCCAACAACATTACGAGATCGGTAAAAACGGTATAATTTTGTAATGTCGAAAATTTGAAATTTCAAGATTTTTTGACATACATACTACTATTAAAATA